CCATAGAATGTATAATAAAAATTGACTCCTCCAGTTCCACCAAAATTAATTATATAAAGCTTCACTGCAACCAACATACATTTGGAATCCTAAGTTCATGTCTCAGAGCCAATCGGTGTAAGGTTGGTCAGAATCAGAAGTATTTTTATTGCCGTAGTAAGTGACCCGAAGTCTAAAACTAGGACTTTGTTTTGGCTCAATTTTGCTACGGAAGAGGTGCACATGTGGTATTTCAGGGATTCAATTCCCAGAAACAAAACCAAAACACAACATGTTCACTTCCTAATTGGAACGCGACGGCGAGCAGGAAGGTCATAGTCATACAATAGTAAAAATTAACCGAATGAAGTATGTGTAAACCGTTAAATCGCAGACCACCACATTGTCAGCATAAACTGGAAATGGTTGTTCGTGCAGAAACTTTCCATAGTACAGCATTGTAAGAGCAGAAAGGGCCTGGCATTGTGGTTTTGGCACATACTGTATTTTTCAACAACCACGCAGTTTAATGAATGGTAAACTGTCTTTCTTCTGCATGGATAGAAAGATTAACTACAAATCATTGTTGTTGAGAATAATCACAGACTATTAGCGCTGCCGCCTGAAGCTATGAGCCTCAGATTGTGTGGAGTGAGTTTTCATAGAGACTATACATTTTGCACATGCTGTAGATTGATTGGTTAAATAGGCTGTAATTTGGCGAGGCCAGTCTGGCGCCTGGTCGACATTTGTAGAGTTCGACGGTCGACCGAGTGTCACTCATTGTTCCTGTGTTTAGTTTACTGCTCCTACTTCCTGCAGCGTAAGACAAACAGCGATTATTAACATGTGAGAGATGGTGCTTTGCAGAGAGAGAGGGAGAGAGGCAAGAGGAGGGATAGAAGAGAGGGGCCCTTGTGTGTCAGCAGCCATCGTGTAATCAGCCTGAGTCAGTGCCAGAGTAAACTTCAGATCGGACGTCTTTACACACCTCATTAGGACACACTCAACACAGTTATGAGCCAAAAGTCATCTATTCACCCGCAGGCCAAACAGACGGACAGCACACTTTAGACATGCATGTACCACCACATATGTGCGTGGCTAACTTATTTCACATGTAAGATACCCCGGCTTATTTTCATCTGCGATTCTATGGGATCACAGCTGCAAATCAGATCCACTTCCAGGTGTTCGTCCATTGCAGCCTTCTATTAATCACGGCTTAAGCAGCGCATATTTGACCTATATCTTCACAATGTTCACAACTATTTTTCTTAGTTTTATGGTAAACATTATATTCTGGAGAAAGAATAACACGCACTTGGTGAGGGATATGCAGGAAAATATTATGAAAAGTTAAAGTAAACTAACCCTAACCCAGAAGGCATCACACTCTCAAGTGAAGTTGCAGATGTCACTTATTAATTGATAAAGATCCATTGGCTGCAATGCCTTCATCATATATTTTTTCTTTCAGGTCTTTCATTTGGAAATGAAAAATAAATCAAATATCTTACAATGATTAAAATGATTATATATGTTATATCATGTGTTGATCTTATTTTTCAACAAACCTACACACAAAGGTCCAGGATAGCACCTAAAAATAAAATTGGAAATATGAAAATCTCTTATGTCAGTCCACAAGAATCCTCCAGCAAGAAAAAAATAGGAATACCAAGTTGAAAATGTGTTAGCCAACTTTAACTTTTTATAATACTTTTGAAATGCATTCTATATGTGGTACATCAGCTCCAGGAGAGTTTCCTTTGTGTATAGTTTCATAAAGTGAGAGTATAGCTGAGATCACACTGAAAAAGTATATTATTATGCAAAACACATAATCTTATATCTTATACAAATACACAAACAAACACACAAGTCCAGCACTTTAGACTTTTAGAATACTAAACAATGTGATGGCAAATCCCTCGCCTACAGTTACGACACATTTTGGCACTTTCTTATGCCAGATGATCCTGAAGCTAAAGCTGAAGAGTTCATCCATACAGAGATCAACTTGTACGTAAATCCCACGAGCAACTGCTGTGTTTTGCGACATTAGGACTGGCACAAAGACAATGGGCTGCTTTGCTCAGGGCTTTCAGGATATTTGAAACCTTAAACATAACTGCATTTTTACATGATTATAAATAATCTATGGGTCAACATGACACCACTACAACCAACAAGGGGTTTGGGCCAATGACAAACCACATTATTTCAAACTGCAAATTAGTCCTGGATCAAAACCCTCAAACGTTGCTGTTTTGCTAAACTTACTCACGGACATTAGGACAAGCTGACCGGGGCACTCAATGTCAGACTGACCGCTTGCTAAATCTTCGCAAACCATAGCAGCGCAGCAGACGCCATCCTAAACTAACCTACAACCCCAAAATCTTGGCTGCAGGCTTGAGGTCTGGTCCTGAAGACAGCTCGTAATGCATTTTGGGGCCTCAAATAATATCCATGCCAGTCCAAAAGCAACAGTCCGCGCAGAATCGGAATCACCGCAAGAGCCACAATAACCCGCTGTGGTCGTGGCGAGAGATGCCAGCGTTCAGGTCACAGGCTGGTCCATTATAATTACAGTCTTTATGTACGGCACTGATTGACACGGAGAGGTCAGGCTGAAGGCGGCTCAGAACTGTTAATCATAAAGTCGTAAATTAGCACTTTTACAGAGGTTTGCACCTTTGTAAGGATCATTGCAAACGTAAAGTGAAAACCGAAGCCGGTTGGGACCGAACCAATGGGATTTTTTAAAGTAGCCTGAAGGGGACGGAATATATACAAAGATGTGATACTAAAATTATTGCCAATAGATATGTAATTGCTATACAATTAGATAAAAAGGTGGCTCAAACACAGGAGGCATCATATTGCAGAGGAATTAAAATCGGAACTAAACATTGGCAAGTTTTGATTGTGAAAACTGGGGTGCCTAACAGAAAGACTTTTGTAAAAGTAAAATAAAAAAATTCAGACCACAACGTTCTCTCTTTTCCACTTTTCTGTCTGAAAAATGTGACAGAGGCCAAAATTAAATGCTTGTTAAAACTGTTTATAATAATAATATTATAATCATCGGTTTTTATAGCGCTTTTCTGGACACTCAAAGACGCTTCACATGTGTCATTATTCATTCACTCCATACACAGTGGTGATAAGCTACTGCTGTAGCCACAGCTGCCCTGGGGCACACTGACAGAAGCGAGGCAACCAGTATGCGCCATCGGCCCCTCCGACCACCACCAACCATTCATACACACACCAGACTCATTCTAGGCAATGGGGGTAAAGTGTCTTGCCTAAGGACACAACGGCAGTTTGGCACTTTACAGCCGCAGCCGCCCCACTGTGGCTGGTGTTCCCAGAGGTTAAGTGTCTTGCCAAGGACACAACGACAGTAGTCAGTGGCAGTCGATGGTGAAAGTCTTGAGCGGGGCTTGAACCCACGACCTTCTGGCTCAAAGGCCAAAGCTCTACCAACTGAGCTACTGCCGCCCAGTGTTTGAGAGCTAGGAACCTAAATGGTTAATAATAACAATAATACAATTTATTTATATTGCACCTTACATTTCCAGGAAACCTCAAAGTGCAGGAACATGGTTTTTGATCAAGTCTTCTTACTGTATTGGAGTAATCATCCATTATCTGCCATTCCACTTTCAACCGCGTGATACAAGGTCAGAGAACAACAAATATATCTCTTCCTCCACCGCAGTCAACCGCTGTTAATTCATGACACAAGAGCCTTCTTTCCAAATAGATGCATCTTCACAATACATTTTGCCTCGGTTGAGTCTTAGTCCTTTTATCTCATCTATACATCACACACTGTTCACTTCTAAACAGAGCGTCTCATATATTAGTGTAATCTCTGGCCGTAGGCAGTTTGCTGAAGTAGATGAATGGGACAGAATGGGACCTTTCACGTTAGAAGCACTCTCCATACATTTCCTATGGGCTCATGAATACTATGCTTTTATCCAGCAATGTACTGAGCTGAACGTGTTTCAGGCTTTTCAAAATTATAACTCAAGATCACATTTACTTTAGGCCAAGTAGTAACATTAAAAGATCAAACTACAAAATGAATCAAACACATGAACAGTGTTAGAAACTAGAAAAGTACTTGGGAACATGTTATATGCTATAGGTGCATATTTGTCTTGTTAAAGGGTGAGACGCAAGCAAGAATAACATTTTCAGTGTGTCTGCTCGGATTGGAGAATCTGCAAAAATGTACCCGTTTGTAGCGCTCAGAATAAGTTGACAATGCTAATATGTGGCTTTTGGCATCAATATAAGAAAACTTGTATCTTTGTATCGTATTTGTTTGTCCTGATATTTTTAATAATTAGCTCTATATCTAAAAAAAAAGTTAGGGGTAGAAGCCGTTTAAAAGTGTTACTTGAATAATGTTGAAAAGGTGAAGGCAATGAGAAAGATTTCCAGCTTAAGAGGCTACTGTAATGTCCAATATTGAGCGACCAGTTTCAGCATTTGTCTTACAGTAATTATTATGGCTTTAGATTTTCAAGTTTTTAAAGGATTGGACTCAACGTGGAGTTGGTAATCCCATCAAACTTTGGTGGCCTTAGAAGAACCAATAAAACTTTAGTATGTTCTAATTCATATGAATAAGTGTGCTAACTACTAAAACAAATCATATCTACACAGACAGGGCCTCAGTAATGTGCCCTTAACAAGTTTAAAGGCCCCAACCCATCAGGCCCAGCGAGGCGTCTGCCAGTCTGCCTCCTGCGAATTCTTTACTGCTCTTATTATCGTCATTAATGTAACGGCTGCGCAGAGCTGAGGAGGGAGTTTTAGGGGTTGTTAAATACAAAATAGTTACGTGTAAAACAATTATGAGGATAAAGTAATTCACATTACATTGACCGATGAATTGGTAGTAATTTGACCGTACACTGGCAGAGTGGTTTTATTGTACCTCTTAGCTTTAGCTTCTGGCTTCTTGGTCATTTAAATGTACAGTGGGTTTGTACCTGCATCCGGGTCCTGTTTGAAGCGTGAGTAGCGGCTCTGGTCCAGTTTGGGAACACATCTCTCTATGGACACCCAGCTGAAGGTCTCGGGGCACAGGAGGTCTGCAGGCCGATACTGCCCCTGAGCAAACACATCAGACAGATATTACCACCATGGCCATTGAATTAGTGGCAATATTCTTTACATGTTTTAGTTGTCCATTTGTTCAGCTCAGAAGTGTGTAGAGAAAAATACATTTTCCAAAATTGCTCTTCAAGTCACAGTAGACTGTTTTTTTTAATAAGATCAAAGTGCTGATTACTATATCTTTAGTACATCGGAAATCTCAAATCTTTCAGCAAGCTGAAACTATGGTGTTAACTATGGCCCTTCTGAATGGATCGGTGCTCTGCCCCTTTTATCAATGTTGACGATACTATTTAGGGCAAAAGACAAAACATGGTGAAAAGTAGCGTTCTCTATTAGTTAGAATTGTGTCGTCTTTAAACTGTGCACTTTTGCACAATGTATTCCAATATTTATCACTTATATCAATCCAAGCAGTTGTTGGGTAATGGTCCAAAATGATGCCTCATTGCAGTAAACGGCTAGCTGTAACGTGCTACCAGTGACCTGTGTGCAATCAAGGTCAAGTCCCCTGCTCTCAAAGTTCTTTGTTTAAATATACAAGAGACAAATGGCCTTACACTCACTAAAATGCACCAGAAACCTAAACACACTAGCACAGTGAACCAACTCCTTGAAAATGCCTCAAGTTTGACCCAACATTTAGCATGGAAGGCAAACCAAGCCAAACCAAAACATCTGTTAAATAAGAAAAGGCTGGTGTGGTAGAAGTGCAGAAAGGGACGGAAATGCATTATCCAAGACTGTGCTCTATCACCCGCTCTAAACAAACACTATGTCCCTGGTTTAGTAAACAAAAAGGCGCCTGTTAAGGGCCTGCTGTAAAGTTTCAACACACAATAATATTTGGATTGTTCGTGACATTAAACTACAGGACGAGAGTTCATTTCACAAACAAGTTAGGTCAGAAACCATAAGTACTTTGTCAGATGACGCGGTAAGGCCACGGCAGCATTAGCAGTGATAACATATTAGAGACCACACAGGCTTGGACTGAGAGCCCCGAAGAACATTTTCATTATTGTTGTTGGTCGTGGACTATAAATTCTATTTCAGTTCACTTTTTATTTTTATTCATGATTAAAATTCTACGTAAAGAAACAGTTGTGGATTTCTGCATTTCTGTCCAGCCATATCGCTCTGCACCTTTCCCTTTTATGCAGTGTCTCTTTTTTCGATTATATATTTTTTATGGTGCCAGTTTTTCCGACACTCTCTCACAGTTTCAGCACTGATTGGAGTCTTTTGATTTGAATGGACGAACTTGGGATTTTCCTCTAATCTCAACATAATCATTTATTTTTATAATCTTGTTAAAGGGGCATTTCTTTATGCAAAAAGAAAAGTTATATCATACTAGCTATTATAGTTAATTATTCTTGCATATTTGACCATAAAGTAACCCAGTGGTTTTGAGTGATCAGCGTGGTGACTTTCCATCTCAGTGGTTTCTAGGATGCTGTAGGATCAATTGTTTGGAAGGATTTCTCTGTTGAGGGACCCCTGCACCAAAAAACCAACAGAACATTTGATCCTGGAGCAGGACATAACCCTGATGAAAAGTAACTGCACCATGCTGACCCCCCATACAATATAAAAACAAAACAAACAAAAAGTCACATAAAAAGTTAAATAATGCCCCTTTGACAGACCAAATGACTGAACTCTACCCACTGAAAGTTTTACCTGAATCTCATATCTCACTACCCATATCGAAAGTATATGTGCAAATAGCAAGACTTAGAAGAAGGGCTTTAAAATTGGAACTAAAGAAATCCCTCCATGCGTGATGGGACATTCGCTGCACGCGTTCTTGCAGAGGAAGAGGAAATCCGTATAGAGGCGGAGGATAGTGACATGTTCTAAGTGCTGCTGCTAACAGATGAGAGAGGTAGGAATGTGGCGCATGTGTCTGAACCCAGAAGAGGGACATCCTGGCAGACCTCAGCCCCCTAAGACTGTCAGCGGGCTGGAGTTGACACTCTCACACTCTGCCTCACCTCTATAGGCTCCTTCATCGCTGCAGTAGGCTTAGCTATACATGCAGTGCACATCTGCTCCAGAGGTAAACTTGGAGCAAAGACTTCTGATATGGCTAACAGGCATTGCACCTTTGACAATAGCACATGAGAGTGTGAAGCCAAGTATGGTTGGCAGTAAGAAAAGTAGATATTTAGCATTACTTTGGTACCTGTTCCTAATTATTTTAACTGGAATTTGATGTATTTTTTGCTCTACATGCTTGAATTTGAACTGTGACAAAATAGCATATTTCTAGATGTCCATATAATAATCTGTATCACATCAAGTAAAAAAAAAACTAAACTTTTTTTAAATTCAAAATAGTGGTATTGGATTTGGCATAGATAATCATTTGTCTAGTTCATTGTTAATTAAATTGATTGTTGAATTAATGCAAAACTTATATCTGCCTTATATATTGTTGTTTATTTATGGTTCATTCTCAACTTATGAAAATCATCGATTGATCAGATAAATCTGAAAAACATTTTCTCATTTAAGTACATAAAACACAAACTACAAATAATACTTCCTTCGTCAATGTGAGTAAAAAGTAAATCCATAAACAAAACATATGTATACTATATCATTACAAATCTTGTACATGACACACACAAAAATATTCCCATGCATATTTTTCTTAAATTGACAGACAAATTGCAAGATACAGTTTTAGACTTTGGTATCTTGTGCCAGACTGCTGCCTGATGTGGGGAGGGAAAATGTTTCTAGAGAAGCCAGAAATTGATGTGTTTTGGTCTTCACTGTGGATTCCTAATTTTGCATCTCAAATCCACAATGACACATCCAGACTTCTAGTGTGAAGGTTTAAAGCCGCTCATGGCACCGTTCCTCAATCCTCGGCCTGAAGAGAATAAAACACGCAGGAGAAAAATGAAGATTATACAGGTACGTAGCTGTTAGCGGTTTGGGGCCTGGACAGAGAATGGAAGCTTTAGTGGAAATGGGAAAAGAGCGCCCCTGTGTCTGCTGACTCCTATACTTAACCAAACTTTATTCTCTGTTGATTGGTTTCACGTCACTGAAACTTCTCTCCTTTTTCTTTTCCAACTTATTTGACTGTATTTGAGCTTTGTGGGTTCCTGCCATTGCTTTCTCATGCTTCAACACCTTTAAGTCTGTCTATGAAATATTATGAATCAGCAGCAATGACGAGAGCCATATCCAAAAGTGCACAGTTGCATTTTAGTAAAAAAGTTAAAGGTTATACTAAAACTGATGAGGAGCAGATGGGATAAGAGCATATGGTGATGTCTGGTATAAGCATTTTTCATAAACTATTGTCCAGTGTGATGGCCTGAGATTAGATTCTGTTGGTTTGCAGAATTTTACATGAAATGGGGGTTGGGAAGAAAAAACATTGATTCAGTTGCAGATTTTATATTGTGATTAGGAAAATGGGACTTACTCAATATGTACAGCTTTTGTTAACAACAACATAATACATTTGATAGGAATTATGTCCCCCGTCGCTTTCTGAAAATGTCACCACAAAAGGGTGTAGAACTGGTGTTGCCATTTTTCACCCAGAAATCTTCTTTTGGAGAGAGCGACTCCATTAAGCGTTGAAAACTAGTTGGTAGAAACAATGAGACCGAGCGTTAGATGAGGACAGGTACTATTACTTACATTATTTAGAATTTGTTACTATGGTGGCATTAATTACTCACTCACACACACACAAAATGGTAATCTTATTGGGGAGGGCTATTTTTCAGAAGCTGGATTCTATCTTACGTCATGAATGGTTCCAGCGGTTGTTTTGACCTAGTGATTTTGGATGGTGTGAAATTGTGTGAAAAAATGAGACTACACTGAATCTCATCTCGTCTCCTATTCTCAACTACCACATTACAAATCTTTGCATTCACAATAATTATGGGCCAGTGTGTTATTGTCATTTCTAAATCACTTGGAGAGCTGCTTGGAAGGGTGTGGCGAGTTGCTACACGTTGGAGACCCCTGGTGTAGAATGAAACAAAACAACTGCAGCTTTAAATGTGATAGTATGCAGTTTGTCCGCATTTCTAAAAGATATAGGCGTAGTAAAGAGAAATGCATTTTATTTAGGTCTCACAAACTATGCGGTAGATTTACAATGTCTCCATCTGCCGTGCTAACAGACCCCCCTCTTCCTCTCACTCTCCCTCTCACTCCCTTTGACCTGTCCGAACATTACATATTGTTTTGCTCCTCATTTTGAACTTTCCCTCGTTTTAAACCTTCGCTTTCCCGCTCCCCTGCTGCCATCTCCACCACATCCCTCACAGCAGTGACAGCAGCAGCGTCTTTACTGTAGTTTGAACACGTTTTATTCTTCCACTCCCTCTCCCTTTCTCTCCCCGTCAGTCATCGGCAGCAGCTCCGTATCGGCCTCAACAGCAGGGAAGTAAAAGGAGACAGGGATGGTGATGGATCGTTTGTGTGGGAGACTTTGAATAAGGACAAATTCTGAATAGAGGAAGTCTCTAAAAAGACAGGGGCTTAATACAAGGGCTGTTTGGAAAGTGTGGTCTTATCTGCTCTTCTGCTACATGACTGATTAATATGCAGCGTGGCTCCATGGAGTATGTGCGCTAATTAACGGCGGCAGGTTTCAAGTTTAAGTGCAAAAAAATGACATTGCTTTAATTTGTGGTTGAAGTAATATGTATGAATCATGGAAAAAGTCATACAGGGATCAGATGCTATTGTCATATCATATATTTTCTTTTGCGTACATTTTTAGTGGGGGAAAAGGAATGACGCTTAATAATGACTGTAGTTTACAATGACATCAGGGTCTCGTAGATAAACACATCTCCTCCGTTTGACACGAGCTGCTCAGATCCAAGTCCAGAGAGACACATGTGATTAAACCGCACAGGGCTTCACTTCGTGCTAATGTGGCTATTAATGTAACACACGCTACTAATGGAACTGCTACTGCTGCTACGACTGCTTAGGTTGCA